GAAGGAAGGAAGGAAGGAAGGAAGGAAGGAAGGAAGGAAGGAAGGAAGGAAGGAAGGAAGGAAGGAAGGAAGGACAATATATACCATTTCACAGTGCTTTCTAGCCCTCGTAAGCGGTTTACAGAGTCAGCCTCTTACCCCCCAAAATCTGACCTCATTTTACTGACCTCGGAAGGATGGAAGCAGTGGTGAGATTCAAATAATTTAACAACTGGCTCTCTGCCCTAATGATTTCCTCCAAAAACCAGTTAACCAAACTGCTCAGAAAGTTAAACCATCGGTTCTCCTGAAGTGGTGCGAACTGGCTGAATCCCACCACTGGATGAAAAGGCTGAGTCAGCCTTGAGCCAGTCGGGATCAAATTGCTGGCAGCGGGCAGAGTCAGCCTGCAATACTGCATTCTAACCACTGTGCACCGTGGATGGATGCAGGTTGGAACGGTCACTAAATGAAGGGGTTGTAAGTCGAGGACCACCTGTCCAGTTCGGGGCAAGTTACAACAGAAGCCCACAAAGTCCAGGAAGGAAATTGGAAACGGATGACCGTAATCCAAAAACAAAATAAGAAATCTGGGCGTCTCTATTGCAACGGTCAAAATCTTGCCAGCCAAGAGGTCACTCTTGCAGTTTTGAATTTCAGACCCTCCTTAAAAACCTCCAGCGATGGAGCCCCCCACAACTTCCTCCCCTTTCCACCAGCCGTGCATTGGTTGCAAGCCTCGGCTGCGGAGAAGGGAAAACGGCCTCCCTTTGCAGCATCGCTAAGCAAAACCTTGGGCTTGCATTATTAACACTTTGCTCCGTTGCCCTTCTGCCAATTCTGCTTAGCATGCGGTCTCGGGTGCCCCGTTGCTATAGCAATCCATCCGAGTCCTCATCGGACTGCGGGAAACCAGATCAAAAAATATTTGACTGTCGTGGCAGGAGGGGAAGGCTTGATCTGCGCGGGACCATCGTGCCTGCCGTCCCTCGGCAATATGTCTGAATGCAACTTTTTTTTGGGGGGGGCTGGATTTCAGGCAGAGAGGAGTTAAAACAGAGCGGTCCCGGTTGGAAGACAGGGTGATATTGCAGAGGAAGGAAGGAAGGAGGGAGGGAGGGAGGGAGAGAGGATGGGAAGGAAGGAAGGAGGCAGGGAGAGAGGATGGGAATGAAAAAAAGGAAGGAGGGAGGGAGGAACCATTTACAGCGAACTGCGCAACACCACAGCTGGTGTGCCCACTGGTACTGGTTCACGCAGGGACTCACCCCTGGTGGGAAGGAAGGAAGGAAAGGAGAAAGGAGGGAGGGAGGAAGGAAGGTGAGAGGGTAGGAAGGAAGGGATGAAGGAAGGAAAGAAGGAGAAAGGGAGGGAAGGGAAGGAAGGTGGAAGGAAGGTGAGAGGGTGGAAGGAAAGGAAGAAAAGAAAGACAAAGGGAGGAAAGGAAGGAAGGAGGAAGGAAGGTTCGAGGGTGGGAGAAAAGGAAGAAAAGAAGGAGAAAAGGAAGAAAAGAAGGAGAAAGGAAGGGAAGGAAGGTGGAGGGAGGGAGGAAGGTGAGAGGGTGAGAAGGAAGGAAGGAAGGAAGGAAGGAAGGAAGGAAGGAGAAAGGGACGGAGGAAAGGAAGGAAGGAGGAAGAAAGGTGAGAGGATGGAAGGAAAGGAAGAAAAGAAGGAGAAAAGGAAGAAAGGAAGGAGAAAGGAAGGGAAGGAAGGTGGAGGGAGGGAGGAAGGTGAGAGGGTGAGAAGGAAGGAAGGAAGGAAGGAAGGAAGGNGACAATAAATTATGATGATGTTAATCTTTGATGAGATTCACAACCTTTGGGGCTGATTGGTAGCTCAACAGCTCTAGTCCTAACCAAGGACCTAGGAACTGTTAAGGTAACGTTGGAGGATGTAAGCTGTTCCAAGTAGGGTGGGTTTTTTGTAGAATCAGAATATTCAACTCTGATAAATTTAGAATTTCCAAACAGCGAGGTAGTCCGATTTCTTTTCCACAAACTTCAATTTGCAAGTACTTTGTGATTTTTTCTTGCTGTTTATCTTCAATTCGCACATCTCCAGATTGCTATGTCAATGAACCATACTTTTTTTCTTTTCAACTATTGTTTTGTCAGGTGTGTTGTAGGCCAGGTGCCTGTCAGTCTGAATTCTGAAGTCTCTAGAACCTTCTCAACCTGATGTTCCCAGTGGTTTTTGCTGTACTCAAATCCAAACTTCTGGCACAATTTCCAGTGAATAATCTTAGTAACGCGGTCATGGCGTTGCAGGTAGTCAGTTTGTGAAATTTTGCTGCACCCACTGATCAACTGGTTTCATTCTCTAGAACCTTCTCAACCTGATGTTCCCAGTGGTTTTTGCTGTTGTTGTTGTTGTTATTGTAGGTATAAAGTGTCAAGTATGTCTCTCCCATTCAAGTCCTACTTTGCTTCCAATCAAAGACCCTCCTCACCAAACTTTTGGACCTCAGAGACAACTAAATTCATAATTTTAAATCCCACGGACCACTGATATGAATTTTCTAAAAGGATAAATAGTATTGAGTGCAATACAAAAATGCAAATAATTTTTCTGCGGACCACCAACATTTTCTCATGGACCACTGGCTGGTGATCACTGCTCCAGGCCCTCTTACCAAATGAGGCTTTTTAGGTATGTTAAAACCCAAAGTCTAGATGTACTTTACCAAAGCTAATTGCCAGGATTTTATTCTTGCCCTCAAAAGGCAAAGATTTTTCAGAAGGCCCAGGAAGGGAAATAGATCAATCTTCCTTAAGCTGGAACTCCTCAATCCAGTTCTTAAATTAATTGTATCCATGCCACTACAAACTCCACCCTTGCCAACATATAGGAGTTGCTTTCCACTTCTCCTAAACCAATTCCCCAAAAGGAATGACCGGTAGCTTCCCTTCCCACTTCTTTGGCCAGTTGTTCAGGAGTTAAAATAAATTAAACTGAATGTGTGGGAGGAAGAATATTTCTCAACCTCCTTTCTCAAAGTCTGGGTTGGGAAACGGGCACCACAAATCTTGTAGAAGAAAAGTGTCATAATATTGTTGCTGTAAGTTGTGAAGTCGTGTCCGACCCATCGCAACTCCATGGATAACATTCCTCCAGGCCTTCCTGTCCTTTACCATCCTCTGGAGTTCATTGAAGCTCATTCCCTCTGCTTCAGTGACTCCATCCAGCCACCTCATTCTCTGCCGTCGCCTTAATATTTTGCCCTCAATCGTTCCCAGCATTCTGTTCTTCTCCAGGGAGTCCTTCCTTCTCATTAGATGGCCAAAGTATTTGAGTTTCATCTTCACGATCTGCACTTCTAAAGAGCAGTCAGGGTTGATCTCCTCTAGGACTGACCGGTTTGATCGCCTTGCAGTCCAAGGGACTTACGGGAATCTTCTCCAGCACCAGAGTTCAAAGCCCTCAATTCTTTGGCACTTCCTTATGATCCAACTTCCACAGCCATCCATTGCAACTGGAAAAACCATAGCCTTGACTATACACACTTTTGTTGGCAGGGTGATGTCTCTGCTTTTTAGTATGCTGTCTAGATTTGCCGTAGATTTCCTCCCTGGGAACAAGCGTCTTTTAATTTCTTGGCTACAGTCCCCATCTATGTCATAATATATTTGGTTGCATACCATCTGCATCTTCTGCATTGGGAGATGGAACAGCTTTACAAAATTTGAATTTCCACCTTATAATTGCTCTGCCTATGCTTCAGCCTTTATTGGAGGGTAATATAGCAAACTGTTGTTTCTTAAAAAGAAATTGTGACATGGATCAGATCTGCAAAACAAAGATGCTTCAGTATTTGTGATCAGAATTAGCACTTCACTCGCAAGCTGACCTCAGGAGGATTCTCTCAGTACAAGTCATATGAATATTTTTTATTAATATTCATTCTGCACACCTCCACGGCCACATTTTGGGGACGGATGAGTCCATTTTAAAGAGCAGTTCGTTTATAATGCAATCCTGCAAACATTTTAACTGGGAATGTGAACATCTATGATTCTTTACTAGTGAACATCTATGATTCTTTAATAGAAAGTCCAGTTATCGGTTGATGTCCTTAGTTTCTCAATGTTAAAAAAAATCCATTTATGTCAGTTAAAATTAGAAAAGTTTCAAGTAGGAAAAAAATGGGAAAGTTAAAACTCAATTGCTGGAGAGTAGAGCTAAAAAAAATTAAAGCATCTTTCATGGGACAAAAGACGGTTGAATTTGACATAGTGCAGAATCTGCATGAACTTCATAAACAATGTCCTGAGAGACAATCTTATTACCCATTTTCTTTTAAAAAGTAGGAACATTTGTAGTTTGCCAAAAGCAGCAAACATACCCCACATTCTTTTACAGCTGCTCAAAACATTAAATGCTGCATTCCCCGACCAGATTAATGTTGTTTGTGAGCAATAAAATACAGATGGAATCAAAATAATTTCTTAGAATGGGTGTCAAAACAGTTTTTAAATCATTTTAATAACATATCTGGTATTGGAATAGCATAGTAAAATTTCTGATTGCTGCCTGTCAACATAAAAACGGCCTTTCCTATCTAAATTTAAACTACTATAATTATCAGAGGAAGAATGATGAAAAGAAAATAACAACAATGATTGAGTCACAGTTTGAAACCAAAGTATTGATGTCACATACTGAACGTTAAGACCGTATCTTTGGGGACCTTCTTTATTCAGCTCTTTAGTAGAATAAGATAAAGAATGAAAATTACATTTGCAGGGGGGAAAAATCACCTTTTTGATGTTCCACCTCTTTCTCTAGAACTTTGCAAGTTGATGCTCTCCAAAGATGGCCACTGTTGGGTTGATGTCCTCCTGCGCATGTTCTCGTTCCCTGGTACCTTTACTTAGGTTGGGGATCCCCAAAACATGTTCCTCCCAGTTACACACGACAGCCACGTCCGCTTCAAAAGATTACTACGAGGTGCTGGTGCTTGGTGGAGGCTCCGGGGGGATCACGATGAGTGCCCGGATGAAACGGAAAGTAGGAGCTGACAATGTGGCTGTGGTGGAACCCCAGGAGGTAAATCCTGAATTCTTGAATTCTGAAATGTTGGGATTTTGGAGGCATTATGCAAAATATATAAAGTATAGTATTATAAATTGTTAAAGTAGATGTGTCCCACATGTGAAGAAAGGGCACCTTTTCTGATATCTTCTTTAAATCTGGACTTTTTGAAGGACCTTCTCTCAATTTAAAAAATTAACAATGAATTTGTGTCTGTTCTTTAACGAATTCTGATACAGAGGGGGGGAAAAATCAAACTTATTAATGAGCAAGTACAAAGTGTGACTCGTGTCACAGTTGTGATCAAAGCTACAGGCACTGACGTTTCACTTGGAAGAAAAAATCCTAAAGTTTTGGCATCTACTGTTAAAGAGTGGGATTGTACAGTTGTTCTGTTCTGTAATGTGGAAGTAGTCCACATTATTCTTTGCTCTGTTCTATTATACATCTTTCACCTTAATCTGTACTTCAAAAGATCTGGAAAATAATCCAGATTGAGTAAAACAGTACTAGACCAAATAAAGACATTTAGAAGGAAATTCCCACTACAAGAGATGAAGAGGAAACGAAAGGACAGACCTGGAAGGACCATTTCTTCATGGAATGACACGATGTAATTTGTATGTAGCAGTTAGCAAGAAAAAAAATAGTGGTTGGTTGTATCTCAGAAGGAATATGGACCTCCTGCCAAGTGTATTATAATCTAGAACCACTCCACTGAGATCCCTTTGTCATAAAAATAAGCAAGAATTGTAAGGTCTAGAACAGTGGCTCCCAATCTTTTGGGCACCAGGGATGGTTCCGTGGAGAAAGATTTTTCTGCAGACCAGAGTGGGTGTGGTTTTGTGAGTTGCCCACATCCCATTGATGGGGCTTCGCCTATTTGTGCATCCCAGTTACTGGCATGCCCTGGACCAGTGCCAGGCTACAGACCAGGGGTTGGGAACCCATGATATAGAACAGTGTTCTCTAACCTCAACAATTTTAACATGCATGGCCTTCAACTCCCAGAATTCGATTGAATTGTCTTTGCAAAATCTTTCAGATCTTAAGATGCTTTCTGAATTTCCTCCTTGACAACCGTGTGTTTCAAACTCTTCCCCACAAGAGGAAAAATGTTATATATTCATTGCACAATACCATTCCACAATCTATCAGTTTTTGCAGGCTTCATATTTTTTGTGGTTCATGCAATATGCTTAGACATTTGTCATAGTTTATAAAGTATAGCTTGGTTTGCACATTGTGCTTAGCTTAAATTGAGGAGCCACATTATATCTTAGCGTGGCATTTTAATCTATCGATTCTTCCTCTAGGTCAGCTTTCTCTAATCTGTGCCTTCCAGATGTGGAATATATATATATGGGGTATGTGTGTGTGTGTGTATGTATGTGTGTGTGTATATATATATATATATATATANGGGTCCTCATTTTACCCACCTCGGAAGGATGGAAGGCTGAGTCAACCCTGAGCCGGTGAGATTTGAACAGCCGAACTGCAGTCAGCTGAAGTAGCCTGCAGTGCTGCATTTAACCACTGCGCCACCTTGGCTCAAGTTGTTCCAGTGATTAATTGTTCTCACTGTCAGGAAATTTCTCCTTAGTTCTAAGTTGCTTCTCTTCTTGATTAGTTTCCACTCATTGCTTCTTGCTCTTGGATGAGAAACGAAACGTCATGAAAGAAAGAAAAAACCTCAGAAAGTCCAGTTTCGTCTTGAAAAAAGCACCTTTGGGATTTAATAAAGTAAGCCGCCTGACCTCACCGCGGCTTTGCAGGGCAACGCGAATCCGAGTCGGACAGGTAAGAAACAAAGGTGCCAGGGGTTCAAACAGCTGATTCCCCCCCCCCCAAATAGCTGCGCGGTGCGATTGCAACCGAGCCGGCCGCCTTTGCAAAACAGAACTGCGCTCTGCACACGCTCAGGAACCCACGGCTTGTGCGCTCCGAGCCTGACCTCCGGGATTGCTCCCTTCCTGCTCCGCGGCTCCTCCCTGTCCGGAGGCAGCTGCTGAAAAGAGCGGCTTTTATTTGTCTCCAGCGGCGGCCTCACCCCGGGCGGGTCGGACGGGGCGTAGCGGGTTCTTGCGCAAGGGACCGCGGCTTGGGCGCAGAGCAACAGGCGGGCTCAGCGGTTTCGGAGAAGCGAGCGGCGCTGGGCGGCTCTTCCTGGCAGGTGGGTTGAGAGTGGCCTTGGTTGAGGGGGAGGAAGAGGAGGAGGGGGAGGTGGTGGTGGTGGTTCAAGCGCAGAGGTCCTTCCCCGCACCGCCTTAGACTGGGTTCCCATCATCCTGGGCAGATGGAGCAGCCTCAGGAACTCCCTGTCAAAACTTCTGCGAGTTCCGCTTTCATTGCAAAAAAAAAGAGAGAAAAGGCGACTTGAAGCCGATTAGACTTCTAAACACTGACTAGGTGGCTCAGTGGCTGAGCTTGTCTTTCAGAAAGGTCGGCAGTTCGAATCCCTAGTACAGGTCTCCTGCGTGAGCAGGGAGTTGGACTAGATGACCTCCAAGGCCCCTTCCAACTCTGCTACTGTTACTAGACTCAAATCTGAGCTAGGGATCCGAGTTTGGTTTCTGCTGTCAGAGGCAAGCTTCATTTCCTGCCCCTGAGGCCCGTGGGAACCAACCTATGGCTTACAGAGGTTAAGGATTACTTCCTAAGAAAAAATATGGAAAGACAAAGATACTGTTTTATACAATACAAGTAGTTCAGCGGGACATTTATTTGAGGGATGAGATTGACTCACTTTCACCTTTCTGATTACTGTATCTCATCCCCTTTTGTGAAGTGTAACATTGATTTGATTAATTGATATAAGAAACTAGTCGGATTCAGTTTAAAGGCCTGCTTAATCCAGCAATTAGTTACTATCAGGTGTTCCTGAAAGGTCTGCGAGTTGAGTAAGGAAGTTGGGGTACATCTCGGATCTGCTTCCAATTGTGACATTTGATGGTAGACTGCTCCTGAGCATAAAGGCTTCATGGATCCGAGGGACACAAATCACATGTTGCTTATTGAAACATTTCACCCTAAACATACAGGTAATCCTCAAGTTATGATCACAGTTGGGACTGGAATTTTCATCCCTAAGCAAAGTCATCATTCATTGAGTCATCTCCAGTTTTAGGACCCTCTTTGACTCCGTTGTTAAATCCTTGTTAATTAAATCCGGCTTCCCCACTGACTTTGCTTGTCAGAAGTCGGCATGGAAGTTTGAGCTGAGTTGAATTGGAAGATGGCAACTCATGGAAGATGGCAAATGGTGATCATGTGACCTTGGGATGCTGCAACCCTCATTTATTAGCCAGATTCATTTTTAAGTGGAGATTTTAAAATCTCATACCCGATAGGAAAGGATTGAGGAACAACAGAAAGCATAATCTGCATAGGAAAGGGGGGAAAATGGAACAAGGAGAAGAGAAATGGTCTTCCCTCCAAAACTTGCAAAGAAGAGAAGGCGCTGAAGTCCACTTCTTTGATTTGAATTTAGCAGCCAAATATTTGAATCCAGGGGTCACATGGTTCAGAGTTCTGGATTACAGGCTTTCTGCAAGAAATTAGCATTTAGAATGTGTGTGTTTGTGTGAGAGAAAGATACAAGCAGAGAGAAAGGGGTAGTCGCCTTGTTCTGCATTGGCTTTTTGTCATTTTACTGCTTAACTTTGGTTTGGATAAAGACTTTTGTGATGAACGAAGCTTTGGGGCCGTTTAATATTCCTTGAGCAAACACCCTTGCTACAAAGATGACTTCAATTTGCTTTCCAAGCCATGTTTAGCTGAAGTTTGGCATCTCACAGTCATCATTTTTCTAATCTAAACAAATCACAGCCACCCCGGGAGAGGAAATCTCTCTCTGGGAATTTTCCATATTTCATAACTCGCTTACCAACATTAACTGTCTGTTGTTAGTTATATTTATGGCTGGTTGCATCACAAACCTCAGGAGCCTGCCTTAACTTTTTATGCCAGTTTCAGGAGGGTAAAATCTTCACCTGGTAGGTAGGGCCACCAACTGGGCAAATAAATAAATCCCCGAAAAAATTGTGATCAGCAAAAGCAGATAATGTGCATAGGTTAAGTCAAATTAAAATGTAATTGTAGGCAAAATGACATGATTGAAGTTTCAGGAAGCTGCCAAAACCGAGATCCAAATGGTTATTTACTCTGGAACCTTATGCCTAGAGAATGCCCCTCCTCCCCAGTTAAGATGGTAATCTCACCTTTGTAATTATTATTATTATTATTATTATGGTTCATTGCATAGTTAGCCAGCTGTCCAGACTGGATTTGTCATTTTTATCCATCGATTGATCCCTTACCAGAGATAGACAGATGTGGATGTTTGGTGTTGAAAGGATGTAAGCTGTCCTGAGTAAAGTTGCCTTTTGCAATTGACTGGTAGTGATTTTGTCAATGCCTTTGGTATTACTATTTTGGAGAACGCCTGGCTGTTTAGGGGGCCCCATGGTGAAGGAATGGAGGTTTAACTGTTCTTCCGAACATCCGCTGTCATGGGAGTGAGGCTTCTTCTGAAATTATGGTATGATGTTAATTACGGAATTCAGGTTTAGTAAGCCACTTGGTTACAGATTGGAGCAGCATGGAGGTTAAGATAAGTAAACCTCTTGTAAGATTTCAGTGTCCTTGCAGAGAGACCCAGAAGAAAATAGGTTCCTGTACTATCCAGATTGTCTGATGGTGTTTGTAGTCTGAAAAAGTAGTTAGCAATAGCAATAGCAATAGCAGTTAGACTTATATACCGCTTCATAGGGCTTTCAGCCCTCTCTAAGTGGTTTACAGAGTCAGCATATTGCCCCCAACAACAATCCGGGTCCTCACTGGTTGACACTGCAGATTAAAACCAGGAAGTTACCCAGAGACCAAGTTAAACCAGAGCTGCCATTTTGGGCATCTATAGAAAGACAGGCTACCTTGAAATTCCTTACTCTGTTGACTCATTGTGTACCGTAGATTGTGAGTAGAAGTTAGATCTTTGTTCCGTGCTATTTTTTTCATTGGAAGGAAATGGCTGTTTAATCATTAAGCCATCCTTACTCAAGTGGGAAGGTGATGGTTTCCATCACAATTTTGATAACGGAAAAGCTATTTACAAGTAGTGGTGATCTGAAGTGAACAGGGCTGGCATACAGATATCAGTGGCCATTGTTGGCAAACAGGTTGTCCTTCATTGTCTTTAAGATTAAGACAAGGTTGCATGAAACCCACCCTTGGTCTTCAAGCAACATATGGAGTCGTAAGGAGGATAGCATCAGATGCTGTTCATTTACTCTGCAAGAGGTAGACCTTTGCCACTATAAATAAAGGAGTGAATGTTTGCTTTCTGGGTTGAAAGCCACAGCAAGAAAACCTATTTATTCTACCTTAAATTAGTAGGTCAAAATGTACTTCACCAAGTGCAGTGTGTGAAAAGTGGAAGATGGTTCACTATGCATACCTTGAACATTCATAATTGTGCATTATGAAATATATGTGTTCACACACACAGAGAGAGAGAGAGAGAGAGAGAGAGAGAGACAGAGAGAGAGAGAGAGAGAACATCAGTCCAAGGAACATTGGACTGCCTTGCGTTACTTATAAATAAAGGTGGGATAGAAATCTAATAAAGAAGGAAAATAAATGTACATCGAGGTAAAAGGTAAAGGTTCCCCTCACACGTATGTGCTAGTCATTCCTAACTCTAGGGGGTGATGCTCATCTCTGTTTCAAAGCCGAAGAACCAGCGCTGTCCAAAGAAATCTCCGTCGTCATGTGGCCAGCATGACTAAGTGCCGAAGACGCATGGAATGCCGTTACCTTCCCACCAAAGTGATCCCTATTTTTTCTACTTGCATTTTTACATGCTTTCGAACTGCTAGGTTGGCAGAAGCTGGGACAAGTAACAGGAGCTCACTCTGTATGCGGCACTAGGGATTCGAACCGCCGAACTGCCAACCTTTCTAATCGACAAGCTCAGCCCACTGAGCCACCGTATCTCTTAAATACATTTGTATTTATATTTACTTACATTTATATCCATTCTTTCCTATACGGGAGTCCCATTCATACCAATAATCCTGTATTGAGCAGAATATATTTTTTAAAAACCTGACACCAAGACTTCCCATAGGCGATCCCAGACTTGAACTTTTGACTTCCCTATAAATTGTTCTACATCTGCTAATTCTGGCCTCTGGATTAACCTCCTTCTATTCCTTGTCCCTTCATTATTCTTATCAGCAACAAGGAGGTGATTTTCTCCTGGAATGTGTGCGTATGCTTAATCTTCAGCCTACAGCTTTGCAGGTGTAAAGAGTTATCCCAGAGCTATAATTGCACTCAACAATTAACTAAAGGCCCACCATCAGTGAGCTGTTGGACAGCATTACTTGGTCTGTATGTGGATGCTTGGGTGGTTTGTGGGCGGGGAATTTTTAGTGGTGGTGGGTGTTTGGGGATTGTCATGTGTCTTGGGCCTGGTCTCTGGGTGGTATGTGAATTTCGCTGTATGGGTTTACTGTGTATATACGTACAATGACAATAAATTATGATGATGTTAATCTTTGATGAGATTCACAACCTTTGGGGCTGATTGGTAGCTCAACAGCTCNAAAAATGCAAGTAAAAAAATAGGGACCACATTTGGTGGGAAGGGAACAGCGTTCCATGCACCTTCGGCATTAAGTCATGCCGGCCACATGACCACGGAGACATCTTTAGACAGTGCTGGCTCTTCGGCTTTGAAACGGAGATGAGCATTGCCCCCTAGAGTCGGGAACGACTAGCACATATGTGCAAGGGGAACCTTTACCTTTTACTATATATTTTTTTGGGCTCTGGAAAATAGTTATTTTCTAATGTGTTAAACCTAAAAGGTGAAATATAAGTTTGTTTAAATAAAACCAGCAAACAAGAGGTAAATTATTTAATTTCCCCCATATCTGTACATGTAACTTAAGGGTAAACCTTTTCCCAGATCTGTGCAACTAAAATGGACTTAGAACTTTATTTGTCAATCAACAATAAAACACACCTTTTTTTAAAGGAAGGAACATCTAAAAAGCAGTTTGTGAGACCTGTTATTTTCACGCACAAGGGTATAATGACCCACTGGATGTCATATACTGCTGGAAATATGTAAAGTAATAAACATGGGCGTGAGTATCATAGAGATATCAAAGTACTTTTAGAGCATACGTGCAGCTTCTCCATTCAGGATTCAGGATTGCATAAAACAGTAGACTACAATTTTTACCACTGATGATCAGAATGCTAATGAGGATAGTGGTGGAAGGAAGGATTTATACTTATTCTCTGCTATCCTATCAGAGCTGAAGAAGCTTCTTGGATGTGAATCAAAATGTCTTCAAAGAAAAAAAAGTCCAAGTTGCCTCCTGAAAAAAAGCAACTTTGGGAAAACCATGCTCTGGATGACTGAGAATCTCTACAGACTTTTAACAGTTTGATATCTTGTACAAAACCAAGCGCTCTAAGAAAATAACCACAGAATTCGTTTGTAAAACCCATTGCTAGAAAAATCAGGTGAAGGCCAATCAATTATATAAGGAACTAGGCAATATTCTAAAGCAATAATTCTCAATCTTTTCTTTACCATGAACCCCCTTTTGTGGCCATGAACCATGGCCACGCACCTCCAAGACTTAATATCAAGACTTAGGCGTTCCGTATAAGGTGCACGGAATGCTGTACCTTCCCATCAAAGGTGGTCCCTATTTTTCTACTTGCATATTTACGTGCAATTTAGGTTGTCAGAAGCTGGGACAAGTAACGGGAGCTCACTCTGTTACGCAGCACTAAGGATTCATACCACTGAACAGCCAACCTTTCTGATCAAAAAGCTCAGCATCTTAGCCCCTGAGCCACCACGTCCCTAAATCATAACATTCCCTCAAATTTTCTTACATGTTGTCAGGGGTCTGTGGATCACAGGTTATGAACCACTGTTCTTTGGCAGCTTTTTTCCCAACAGAGAAATGGTCCAGATATATTGAATGTATGTCTTTCAAAAATCTCATTTAATATAATCAAGGGAAGTTCTTGAACCTGATTGGCCAAATCTCTCTAGAAAAGTATCAGCTGTCTGATTTCTCATGTTCATTTCTGTTCTTCTTATGCTTTGCTGGCAGCTTTTATTCCCAATTAATTCTTTCAGAAACACTATTATCATTTCTGTTCTTCTTATGCTTTGCTGGCAGTTTTTATTCCCAATTATTTCTTGCAGAAACACTATTATCAACCTATTTGGACTTTAGTTGGAGCTGGGGCAAAACAATTGGCCACTTCAGGGCGTGCGACAGCCAGTGTTATTCCTTCAGGGGTAAAGTGGATCCAGTCCAAGGTGGAAAAGTTGGATCCAGACAACAACTGTGTCTATTTGGGGAATAATCAAAAGGTAGGTCACCCATTGGAACTTGCTGATTTATCTGCTTGATTAAAACTTACTTGCATTGACAATTGCTAAGAGCTTGGATACACGAGATTTAGTCTTTAGTTTGAATGGGTTGCTCATCTATATGAGAAATATTTAATACATAAATTGAATAGTTCTGTCATCTCTTCTCATGTTTTTTTTAACTTCTAAAAAAACCTACATGATGCTATTTATTTAGTTTGGCATTATTCTTGCCTGCAATATTCCATGAGGATAGGAGAGACTGATAGAGACAGCATTTTGAGACCAACTGTCTGTTTGAATAAACCTTGGATCCTGTTTACAATCATTGTTGTTGTTATTTGCAAAGTCACATCCGACCCATTGCGACCCCATGGACAACATTCCTCCAGGCCTTCCTGTCCCTTACCATCCCCCGGAGTCCGTTTAAGCTCACACCGACTGCTTCAGTGACTCCATCCAGCCACCTCCTTCTCTGTCGTCCCCTTCTTCTTTTGCCCTCCATCTTTCCCAGCATGAGGCTCTTCTCCAGGGAGTCCTTCCTTCTCATTAGGTGGCCAACGTATTTGAGTTTCACCTTCAGGATCTGGCCTTCTAAAGAGCAGTCAGGGTTGATCTCCTCTAGGATTGATAACATATTAGGAAGATTAGGCATAAGCCTAATCTTCCTTCCTTCCTTCCTATCTTCCTTCCTTCCTTCCTTCCTTCCTTCCTTCCTT